AATTTTAATTGAAATGTATTAGTTTCGTCAATACCTATCGATTGTTAAAAAAAAAGTTTGCCACGCCCGCTCTAACGCCCACAAACCGCCTAAGCCTGTGGCGCCCACAATTTTCATGCTAGAAAAAAGTTACCTTAAATGTGTTAGTCTCGTCAATACCTATCGATTGATCTAAAAAAAAGTTTGCCACGCCCACTCTAACGCCCACAAACCGCCTACACCCGTGGCGCCCACAATTTTCATGCTAGATAAAATATGTTATCTGAAATGTACTAGTCTCGTCAATACCAGAAAAAAAGTTTGCCACGCCTAATCTAACGCCCATAAATCCCATAAATCTGTCTGCCGCCCACATAACCATATATTGAGATAGCGGGTAGGTGACGCATTACAATCTCGCTTTGCTGTTCGGTCCCTTTAGCTGAGTAACGAGTATCTGATAGTCAAGGTACCCGACTATAGCGTTCTTCCTTGTTTTATACTAGCTTTGCTTTGTTGGGCCGGTAACAGAATTGCGCCTGCATTTTGAATTTCAGTATTGACCAATGAAAGGGTGTTCATGTTATTCCCTTAGGCAGTGTTGTAAAACGTCTGTTTTAAACGTTGTTAAATTCGACAATAGATAATTAGCTGTAATCGATATAATCTATTTAAGCAAAAAACATATAAGGAATAAATTAGTAGTAACATTTAAGTGTACATATACCGAAAATGGTGTAAAAGGTGAGTGTTAATTTGCTTAAATAGGTTTACCAATATTTTCGATATTTCGTAAATATTTCTGCGCCTTCCATTTTCAAATGTTTTCTGTCGTAGTAGTGAATTTGAATTCAGAGCTCCAAGTCCGTCAGATTTGAATGGGGAACTGGAAAATTCCCCCAACCGTAAAACCCTTTGGACCCATCCATTCAACAGATGGTAGGTGGTGGTTAGATCTCGGTGGGAAGAGGATATTACTTTTTTGCAAGAGCACCTCCAGCAGGAAATCTAGTTGGGAGCAAAATCCCACCCGCCATGCTCCTTTCCAACGGGCTTCTCCATTGGATCTTCTCCACCCCTTCCAATTTTCTGCTGCTTTGCCATGTTGTGGTCCTGGTAGTTGCCTTAAGTCCCAAATTTCTGGACGATCCTCCACAGATTGAATAAGAAAGATTGCCTGCCGGCGTGGATTTTGCATTTTTCCTTCCATTTTTATTCTTTTGACACACCTGCATAAAGCCATCAAAAAATTAATTAAAATTAGTTTCAGTAGTTTCATTATCATTTAAGGGTGTAGGTGATTCGTTACCAGGCGTTGTGGTATTTATACCCGTTACTCGTAGAGTAAAAGGGTATACTAGATTCACAGGCAGAAGGAAGCGTTTCCGACCCCACAAAGTATATATATTCTTGATCAGGATCACTAGCCGAGTCGATCTAGCCATGTCCGTCTGTCCGTCTGTCTGTCCGTCCGGATGAACGCTGAGATCTCGGAAACTGTGGGAGCTAGTCTATTGAGATTTGGCGTGCAGATTCCTGAGCTTCTTACGCAGCGCAAGTTTGTTTTAGCACAGTGCCACGCCCACTCTAACGCCCACAAACCGCCCAAAACTGTGGCTCCTACAGTCTTGATGCTAGAATAAAAATTTTATTGTAATTATTATATTGTATTTATTTTAATGTATTGTTCTCATCAATACCTATCGATTGACCCAAAAAAGAAGTTTGCCACGCCCACTTTAACGCCCACAAACCGCGAAAACCTGTGACGCCCACAATTTTCATGCTAGATAAAAAATTTTAACTGAAATGTATTGGTCTCGTCGATACCTATCGATTGATCCAAAAAAAAATTTGCCACGCCCACTCTAACGCCCATAACGCTTAAATCTGTATACCGCCGGTAGGTGGCGCATTTTAATCTCGCTTTGCTGCTTGCATATCTCCATATAGCTGAGTAACGGGTATCTGATAGTCGAGGTACTCGACTATAGCGTTCTTCCTTGTTTTTTTTTATTTATTTAATTTGGAATGTATGTAACAGGAAGAGGGAAGCGTTTCCGACCCTATGAAGTATATATCGAGCCCCATTTGCGAAAATAACGTAAGCGCCATTTTACCAATTACCAACCGCATTTCCTCTCAAAACATCAAATACTAATTGCATTTATTAACTGAGATATCGGCCTGTCAATTATAACTTAAAGCCTCGTACTCAGGTCGGCGAAGAGTTTCACTAGTGAAAAAATATTATTCTTTGTAATGTGACCGAAGTTTTCAAAGTTCACCCGCAATGCATGTAGCTTGGTCTTACTGTCAAGCAGCTCGGTTTGTTGACAAACGGAAAACAAATAAACAGGAGCAATTTAAAAAAGAAGAGTCTGCTGGTGGAGGTGAAGTCCAGTGGTTCGTCAATGGAGAGCTGGTCGGAGATCGAGCGTAGTCCCACTCGGCATGTTCCTTCCCACTGCGATTCTCTAGTGGATCTCATCTCCTCCAGCAATTCAACTATTCTGCGGATTTGACCTGTTGTGGTATTGCTTCTTGTAAGCGAAATCCCACAATAATGGGCAACAGCTTGGATTAAGCGTACTTTTTCATCTGCACAGACATTCTGTTGGCGTTTTTGGGGCTTTCCTTCCATTTTGAATTTATAAATTCCACACCAGTTTTGCACAAACACCGCCAAAGATTAAGTTTCTTAAGCCTAGTACTCACATCGACGAAAACCGCGAGCTAACCATAGGAGTGAGCGAGAGGCAAACAGGCGGCTAAAGCTTTTCGTCGGGTCTGTTTTTCAGCGCGGTACTCAGATGAGCTAAGGAAATACCAGAAAAAATACCAGATATCGCCAGTGAATTTTCGATGAACGCCGTTAGCCGCAGCCCAAAGAATAAGAAATTTAATCTTTGTCGGTGTTCGTGCAGAAGCGGTGGGGAATTTTAAAAATTAAATATGGAAGATATTTACCAAAAACGGCTAAAGGAGGTCAGTGCAGATGAAAAAGGACGCCTAATCCAAGCTGTTTCCCATTATTGTGGGACTTGACCGACAGGAAGCAATTCAACAATGGGGCAAATCTACAGAATAGTTGAAGCGCTAAAGGAGATCCACTAGAGAATCCCAGTGGGAAGGAACAGGGGACATCGCTTGATCTCCGACGAGCTTTCCTTTGAGGACTCCACCTCCACCAGCTACTTGACAGCTAAAGCGGAGATGGAGGACGCGCCGGCTTCTAAAGGGCGAAGAAAATAAGGTCGCCCGCTAAGGAACAGCTGGAGGAGCCATCACCAGCCATTATTGGCCAGCCTATTGGGACTCGCAGCTGGCGCAGAAAAGATGGCGATGGCCTTGGAACGAGAAGGAAGTCTTAAACTTCTAATTTACATAAATAAAAACATTCGTTGAACATTTCATTTATTTGCCGTTTGGGCAACAAGCCCAGCTGCTTGACAGTAAGATTATGTCACACTACAAAGAATAAGATTTTTCGACTAGTAAAACTCTTAGCCGATCTGAGTACTAGGCTTTGTTCTTTGGGCTGCGGCTAACGGCGTTCATCGAAATTCACTCGCTAAAAATGGTATCTTTTCTGGTATGTCCTTAGCTCATCTGAGTACCGCGCTGAAAAACAGACCCGACGAAAAGCGTTAGCCGCGTATTTGCCTCTCGCTCAGCCCTATGGTTAGCACATGGCTTTCGTCGATGTGAGGCTTAAAGCCTAGTACTCAGATCGACGAAAACCGCTAGCTAACCATAGGAGTGAGCGAGAGGCAAATACGCGGCTAAAGGTTTTCGTCGGGTCTGTTTTTCAGCGCGGTACTCAGATGAGCTAAGGAAACACTAGAAAAAATACCAGATTTCGCGAGTGAATTTTCGATGAACGCCGTTAGCCGCGGCCCAAAGAATAATAAATTTAATCTTTGGCGGTGTTCGTGCAGAAACGGTGAGGATTTTAAAAATTAATAATGGAAGAAAAACGGCTAAAGGAGGTCAGTACAGATGAAAAAGGAAGCCTAATCCAAGCTGTTGCCCATTGTTGTGTGACTTGACCGACAGGAAGCAATACCACAACGGGGCAAATCCGAAGAATAGTTATAGCGCTGGAGGAGATGAACTAAAGAATTCCAGTGGGAAGGAACATGGGGCATCGTTCGATCTCCGACGAGCTCTCCATTGAGGACTCCACCTCCACCAGCTACTTGACAGCTAAAGCGGGAGAAAAATATATGGTCGCCCGCTAAGGGACAGCTGGAGGAGCCATCACCAGCCATTATTGGCCAGCCTATTGGGACTCGGAACTGGGCTGCAGATGGCGCGGGAAAGATAGCGAAGCATCCGTGGGACGAGAAGGAAGCCTTAAACTAACTCTAATTTACATAAATAAAAACATTCGTTGAACATTTCATTTATTTTTATTTTAACTTCTTTGTGCACCAGCAGAATCTTCTTTTTTAAATTGACAGTAAGACCATGCCACATGCATCGCGGGTGAACTTTAAAAACTTCGGTCACTCTACAAAGAATAAGATTTTTCGACTGGTGAAACTCTTAGCCGATCTGAGTACTAGGCTTAAGCGACAAACGCCTATTTTAGTGGACGCGAAATAAATTAAAAAAAACACTCCTGTAAAATTAGGTTTCTGGCGCTTACGTTGTTTTCGCAAATAGGGCTCGATATATTCTTGATCAGGATCACTAGCCCAGTCGATCTAGCCGTATCCGTCTGTCCGTCCGTCCGTATGAACGCTGAGATTTTAGAAACTATAAAAACTAGAAAGCTCGTCACCCAATATGGTTTTTGCTTTTCCTTGGGCCTGCTTTATTATTTACATATCTCGAATTCTGAAGAGCCGATTTCCGTCAGTAAATACACATAATATTAGTAATAAAACGCTCTTCAACTTTTTGATGGTATTAAAAAAGTTGGTAAAGTTAAAGAGTCGGAGGTATACATTTTGTTTTTAAAAATATTCGTATAATAACTATTATTTGTTTTATTGCTTCTCGTACATTGTACAATGTACATACGTACCCTGGAAAATACAAAGTTTGTTTATTAATCTTTACATGTAGTGCCATTAAAAGTCATACATTGTAACACAATCTTTTATCTCCGCACTATATCCTCCGATGAAATAAGAAGAAAATGTTTAAGTTTTCGCCGAACTTGCCCAAAGAGCTTTTTGTAAAACCCATGAGTTTGAACAAAATGTTAAGATTGGAATGAATTAGGCAGGCGCGTGAAGAATTGAGGCCAAAAATGAATGATGACTAAAATGACTTTGAAAGTTTTGTAAGGTTGAAGTATATGAAAACCTGATATTCTTCCAACACTTAATATGTCCGCCAAAACATTGAAAGTAAATCTCTTTATATCAATTGTAGTCTTAATAAATCTTCAGTATATAAGCATTCTGGTGGTACATACACACGTAAACATATACACCAATTTATTTGTATGCATACATACATGACTTAAATACATACGTACATATAATTTTACAAGCAGGTAATACCAGCGAAGAAATGGAGTTGGCATTTGCTTAAACAGTTGATTTTGGATTTTGTTGCGGATAGTTGATGCTTTGTATACATATAAAAAGGCACATTTTTAATTGTTTTTGTTTTGTTTTATTTCAAATATATATACGTACATATGTTATTTTAACGTTATTTATCAAATAACTTTCACATATTCACTGCACTTCTGTAAGTGAAAATTTGAATCTTCCAACCCTTGAAATGTCTGCTAAAAATGAATTTTTTTTAGTGATTTGTCTTAACAGTCTTCAGTGTAAAGCATTTTGGTGGTATACATTTATACATATATACATATGTACACAAATACATCTATTTTATGTGTATGCACACGTCCATGCTCATATATGAGTTACATGCACATGATTGTGCGTACAGGTGATGCCAGCGAAGAAATGGAGTTGGCATTTGCTTAAACAGTTGTTGTTTTGATTTTGTTGCGGATAGTTGTTGATTTGTATACACAAACATACATATGTATGTACATTTTTAATTGTGTTTAATTAAATTCCCTTGTTTTATTTTAGCTCAAATTAAAACGTATACATACGTTATTTTACCGCTATTTATAAAAATATTAATCTAACTGCGATAAACAAATTAATATTACTTGTAGATGCACGCAGACGTAAATATGTATGTATGTGCTTAAGTAGAGCCAGTTTATATGTACCTTTGACTGTATGTACACTAAACATACAGTGACGAACTTATGTGTTGGCACACTTAGCATCTTGAACTTCTAGTGCGCTTTTCTACCTTTATAAATGTGTTATAAAATTCAAAAAAATTATTTTGGATAAGGGGAATATTCAAATTAATTTAGTTTCAATAAATTCTCTTTTAAAACTAAATTTTTAAAATTAAAAAAACAAAAAATAGGCAGATTTAGCTGCACAAAAGTCTTGGCACCTTTGTGTTTTTAATAACTATTTCGATAAAACTTAACCGCTTTGGTTGTTTTTTTTGCCGAATCTGCTTTGGCTCTATATCTTAAATAGTATAATAATATATATGTAGCATAAAATAAAAATAAAATAAAATAAAAAAGTACCTTAAATAACACCAAAAATGGTTATAAATATAAAAAAAAAAAATACCTCTATCTCTGCGAAAAATAATATTTTACTTTCAGAATCGGGGTCAGTGTACAAACCAACTGACTATAAAGGTCAAGTATATAATCATTTATGGATACAACAACGGTATCTAAATATCCCAAATGGCTTCTGAGTCCTTTTTATCATCTCATTAGACATAATAATAATTTCAAGTGGTTCCGTAAAGGGGTTCGGTAATTTAAACTAACAAATCAATTGTTTTTTTCTAGTTGCAAAAAACTTGTACTGAGCACTTGACATAACCTTTCGGAAGGCTACTGGGTAAATATCCTTGCCAAAGACCTTCTTATCCTTAACTTAGATCAGTGCTGAGTAGTTGTGAGGGTTGTCATAATCTTATTATGTGATCCTTTCACCTCCCTGGCCACTCAAAACTTTGTATCGTCCTATGAGCCATGCATTTTTGCTTGGTTAGAGTCCTTTAGAACGTCATAAGAGGCTCCCAACGATAAAATCGGCTTCAGGGCACCCATTCACAAATGTTAGTATACAACTGATCCTGATCCTGAAAGTAAAATATTATTTTTCGCAGAGATAAAGGTATTTATTTTTTTATTTTTTTATGTAACCATTTTTGGTGTAATTAAAGGTACTAAATCGATTTTATGCTACTAATTTAGCATCATACCACTTAAGATATAGAGACAAAGCGGTTTTGGCAAGAAAAAAAAAACCAAATCGGTTAAGTTTTATCGATATAGTTATAAAAAACACAAGTGTGCCAAGACTTTTTTGCAGTTAATTCTGCCTATTTTTTGGTTTTTAATTTGAAAAATGTAGTTTTAAGAGATAATTTATTGAAACAAAATTAATTTGATTGTTAAATATTCCCATCATCCAAAATAATTTTGTTGCATTTTACAACACATTTATAAAGGTAGAAAAGCGCACTTAAAGGTCAAGATACTAAGTGTGCTAACACCTATGTTCGTCACTGTACTTAAAATTGGTCCTACCGCATTAAACTTGTGAAAATTCTCGCGGTGTCTCCAGTGGCTGTTCAATTTTCACTACGCTGCCTGAATAAAAATCGCATCCTTGATCAATTTGCTAATAGCAATGAAATACTCATTTGCCGCTAAAAACATTCCACATGCTAGCGTTCAAATTGAATTTACTTTTGTGAATTGTTCGAAAAGTTGAGGAAAATACAACGATTCGGTATTACAAATCGGTAATGTTTAGAAGGAAATGGTCTAAAATGTTTTGTGGAAATCATTACGTATTTTAAAGCAAGGTCATAACCTTATTGACTCTTCAAGTTGCAAATATGTTTGGATGGTCCGAACTTAAATTGTTAACCCATGACTCGCCCTTATTTTTTACTTTTTTCTTTAAAACATTTATTCTGAGACGCCTGTTTTTAGCATATATTTATTGTTTAACAAAGTAAATGTAATGTGTTTTTAAATGCGCTCGCCGGCGCATTTTATCATCGCTATATTTTTTGTGTAGGCAATTCTTCTTTGTGTTACAAAATGGTAATTTTTTGCAAAGTTTTTATTCTGTTTGTAAGGGCAAGTAGGGTTACATTGCTTTTAACTAAAATAAAAGTGGCTACGCCCACAATGCGGACGGTTTTTAAAACTTCGATACATTTATCAAAAAAGTACCAAAATTATGCGGCAACAAAAATAGCACTATTAACGGCTTTCGGCTTTAAACTTCATTTGGTCAGATTTTATGGCTGTTTTTCGTTTTGTTGTATTAAGAACAAGTTCTACTAATTGAATTGGTAAAATAATGAATAAAATGGTGCTCCCAATGGGTCATTAAGCGCACTGTAATGATAAAAATAGAAGGATATTCAAAAAGCTAAAAAAAAGCAATTCATAAAGGCAATGCAAAAGATAAGTTAATATAAATCGTCAAATTCTTTAAAATAATGATTAGTAGTTACCTAAAACAAGAACTCAAAAGAATAGCACGCAGTGCGAAAAAAAAGTGAGATATAATGTACATAAACAAAAATTATGCGCTTCATGTCCAAAAAATCTCCCTAGACTGCAGAGCATGGGTGAATTTGAAGGACGAGTCTTAAATAAGGCCCACAATAATAGGAAAACTCTTTTATGGTCTGGCGGCTGAAAAATGCTTATGTTTAGATTAAAAAGACCTAAAATTCACATAAGTAATAATATTAAAAACCTACATATCCAAAATTGAGTCCCCAATTCACATTTGCAAAGAATAATAATGGTGAAGCAAGTATCATGGTATGGGCATATTCTCGTACTATAATAATGGTACCATATCATAATGTAAACCCATACAGGATCAACATGTTCACTTTGATAGCTCAGAAATTATGATGCAATTTTATTCGCAATACAAAATTAATTTATTTTGGAAGCTTTACAATGATTATAAGCCAAAAAAAGTCTGATAGAGAGTCGTCTAAAGTATCAAAACCCTTAAGCTAAATGGTATAATGGGGACCTTTCAAGCCTCAGAACTAAAAAACATCGAAAATCTTTGCAGAAATGTTAAAAAACTATGTTTTTAATGCAAAACCGAAGAAAAAAGCACTAAAGTGGCCTACGCGGATGACGTGGTTATCCTACTGCAGGGTAAATTCCCGCAAACTCTTTGCAATCTAATGGTGACAGCCCTATACCCTCTAAAGGTTGAGCTATTTTGAAAGACAATTTTGCCAAGGAAAGATTCTGGTGTCTAGTGACGTCAAGATCGGTCGTTGTTGTTGTTGTTGTTGCAGCCCAAGGTTTAGAACAATATTTTTTACCTTACAAAATCATACATTTATATAAAAATAAATTTTAAAATCGCGTTATTTTTAAGTTTTTTAAGCCTTTTCTTTAGTTGGTGCTATTTTTGTTGCCGCACAACTTTGCTACTTTTTTGACAAATGTATCGAATTTTTAAAAACCATCCGCATTTTATTTTAGTTAATAGATATGTAACTAATTACCCTTACAAACAGAATAAAATTATTGAAAAAAATGACCATTTTAAAGCACAAAGAAGAATTGCCCACACGTTGGTGCTATTTTTGTTGACGCAGCTGTACTTATTTATAAAAAGAATATTAACAATAAAAGCAAACAAAAATTTTCGAAAGTGCAAAACTGTTGAGGATGGTAAAAATTGTATTTTTCCTGAAAATTTCAATAGAATTACACATAATTTTCTAAAAATCCGATGTCCTATCCGATGTCTTATGCCTTGCTTGGGCCTTGGTGAATATTATTTAGCTCTTAGAGACTTTCCGACTTTCTGATTTCATTATGAAGTTTGTTCTACGAAATAGAAATTGCTGAATAATGCTACACATATTTCGCTGAAAAGGTAATTTAATATGCGCCGCTTTTGTTAAAATTAGGCTTTTTCATGTGCTCATAACTTTTTAAATTATTGGAATGTATGGAGGTATAGATCAATAAAATCAATTTCATAAATGTGGGCGCTATACCGACTTTAGCATTATGGGCGTTGAAGTAGACTTCGCACTCCGCTGAAATAAACTTGCGCTGCCTAAGATTCCCAGTATACTTAATCCCAACATTCTAGCTTTTATAGTTTCCGAGATCTCAGCGCTCATACGGACGGAGAGATGGACATGGCTAGAACGAATCGGCTATCCTTAGCAATATTATGTATACATTATATGGTCCCTTTACTCTACGAGTTACGGGTATAATAAATGCAGTTCGTTCCACAAGTCTCCATAGGTCCCATCTTTACCTTTATTTTAATTTCCATGGGATTTCTCCCAAACCAATTAACTTCTAAAAAGTCTTACCAGCGAGATTTAAAGAAAATAGAAATACCTTTTGATCGGTGTACGAAGTGTTTTGATTTAACTGTCATAGCAGATTTTCAATTTTAAGTGCTTATGTATTTGTGACTACGTGGACTTTCGTACTCGTAAATAAGCATGAAATATTTTTTAAAGTAAACTGAAACGTAGAATTCCTTCTAGACGCGGCGTAGAAGACTGGCGAACGGGCGGGCAGGAACGAAGGCAGATATTCGTAGATTTTCCTCTCTATCTTTGTCTTCCAAGCTGCCTGCACTCGGCGATCGGACAGACAAATTTCGGCCGGTCCGTTATTTTGCGTATATCTGTTTTGTTCAAAATGGTGGCCAACATTTTTCCGGAAAAATTGTTGTGGTGCATTGACATGTTTAGGAGCGATATTGTATTTCGAAATAAAGCAATTAATATTGATTTGTAATATATATATAATTTATGTATATTATTTTTATAATATATTTATTATTACTATATATTAATATATATATATAATATTTAATATATATATATATATATTAATATATATATATATTATTATATGTATATATGTTATTAGATATATATATATTCCTCACAGTAAAATCAAGTTATTTGAATTAACTTATAATGTAAAAAGTGTATACGAGTAGGAGCATTGGCACGCACCAACAGCGGAAATAAAACAAAAAAAATCAAGTAAAGGGGTGAGAAGAAGACTTGCTGTGTTCTTTTTGAGTTTTGAGTGAGGGAACCAGGCAATTCAATTGGTGCGTAGCGATATAAATTAGTTTCTCGATAAAAAGTGGTATCTGTTTATTATAATAAAGACAGGTAAGAGCTACCTTAACTTTAAGATATTGTGCATGGATCTAACTTTAAAGTGCGTCGATTTTAAAAGTGTTTCATTGCCTAACCTAAAAAAATTCAGTTAGCCGAAAATTGCGTGCTCAAATGTTTTCTGCCAATGAATGATCCCGCAAAGGCATTTATACACTTTTTTTTTATATAAACACTTTTTTTTAAACATGCCGCTATATTTTTTCAGGAACATTGGCCGAAGATTTTAGGTACAGATGTTTGAGAAAGGCGATGCACAATGCTAAAAACATTTAACAAACCAAAAAACAAGGTTTTTTAACAATAACTGTACACCAATTGATAACGTAAGTAACACAATTTAAAACCAACATATAGCAACAACAAGTACATTTAAATTTAATATAAATTTGTATATTTTAGTTTATAAAAAGGATACAAACAAATTTTTGGGCTATGAAATTACTGACTTTTAAGCAGTCATACATGAATTCACCCATGCCGGAGGTGATACGATGAAGGAAGTGTTCTCTTCTTTCAAAGGTGACATCTTATCGGACACATATTGCATTTTTTGAGTGATTTCATGCGTGACTTGTCACAAGATTATCTCCCATACTCCAAATGCGTATAAGTCATGCGTGAAATCATTACTGACTTCGCATATAGTTCTTATGAGCTGTCACGAGTAAAAAAGCGTACCTCCCTTAAAAATTTCATACAATTATCATACAATTTGTTATATTATGTTAAGAGTTAAGAAAAACCTAAAACATTTAAAAAGTGTGTTTGAAACGTAACTTTTTGTAATCACATCAAATATTCTTTACTAAGATAATTTTGTCAATGTATTGTAATTTACCTTTTCACTTTCCTTTTTAATGCTAAGTAGCACAGTCCTCAAAATCTGTGTATTTCTAGCAATTTCCTGCCAAACTAGAGTTGTTTTAAGGTCGTAGAACAAAATTTTTCCATCCTTTGATGCAATACAAACTCTTCAACGGAACTCAATTATAAAGTGTCATTTGATGCTTATTTATAGCTAGCTACAACTAGGCTAACAAACTGGAACATAAATCCGCACTGTTTTTTTTTTGGTTTTACTATACCTTTTGATTAATGTGTTTAGCTGTTTAGCTCATCACATATATAGTTTTCGGCTTCGCACATTCTGCCGGTGCGCATCTTCATTACGTGTATTGCCCCCTACTGTGATGTACGTGATGCTTGCCTACAATAGTTTTTTAGAATGCAAAGAAAATTTTTTTTTCTTAAATTTTTAGTTACTAAAACATTAAAAAAAACTTTCAAACTTGTTTACATTCACTTTTAACAAAGCATGTGCTCGTAGACTCATAGTTTTAGAATCTATGGATATTAGTGTTTGATTATGTGTGGTTGATTAATAGCCTCTGCACACCAAAATGATTTCCTAAAAAAAATTCTTTTTAAAAAATTAATCCTTTACAAATTTATCTAGCATTTCCAAAATATTGTTACACCCGTTACTCGTAGAGTAAAAGGTTATACTAGATCCGTCAAAAAGTAGCCAACATGTCCAGCCAACATGCGCAGCGCAAATTTATTTCAGCACTCCAACGCCCATAACTCTAAAACCTGCCTAGCGCCTACTTTTTAGACGATTTTAGAAAAAATAAATGGAATTTTGTTTTATATATCAATATGCATGCCAAATATTATTAGCAATATACCCGTTAAAGTTTTTAATAACAAAGTTAATAAGATAAAAAGGAGTTGCACTATCCTCTAGGTGCCTCGCCAATAGAAAGGTCATTTAACATTAAAATTGGTGAAAAGACTACGCGCTATTTTATAAGGCAAATATAACTCTTTAACTCTCTTAAGGCAAATATAACTTTCTTTGGCTGTTTCTGGTGGCGACGAAAATTTCGCTCTGTCCGCTCACACAAAGTTCAGAACGTACAAATGTAGAAATAGAATGCACAACGAATATGCAAGTGCGTATGCGTGGGTACTTGTTCAAGAAAACGATTTTTGATCTGAAATCATTTCTAAGCTAAGAAACGGATTTATGTATTTACACCCTTTACAAATTATGAGGGGAGGGTATCTGTTAAAAGATCTTCTATGATTAAACAGGATGTTTAACCAAATTGTATATGTGTATGTATATTGTAACGAATTGATTTGCTAGCTCAGCAGGTTGTGTCTTTTTCCGACGGGACTGCCTCGTAGATCATTGTGGAAGCATAGAATTCAAAGGCTTTCAGTGGGTTTATTTCGGTGGGCTTATTACAGCGGACTGGTGGCTCTATTGGTCTCGGTGTCGCCATGAGCTGACTCCTGTAGATGCTGATGTTGCTCGTCGAAGAGTTGATTCGATGATCGCTCGCCTCGCTGACTCCGAGCTACGGTCTTGGTTTCGCTCGCCGCTGCTCGCTCGCTGATGCGTTGGCTTGATGACCCCTTGTCTTGCCTTGGACTCTCAAAAAGACAGTGCGTGTGGGTTTAGGAAACCAGACTAGGGTGAACAGGTGCCGTGCAATGACCGCGTGTCCTTTGCTCTGTCTGGGATGGTCCCACTAGGGTTTTGATCCGTTCGCGCTAACAGTCAAGGCATATGCCAGGATTTTACCTAACTGTTCACTCCGCTTTACGCCTAGTGCAGACGAACGTTGCACCATAGCCTCACCCTATTGATTGTCGTACGTGACAGCCGGTTACCGCTGGGCTCTACAGTACAACGCCTCTTAAAACCACAGATCAATCAACCGCTCGTCCATCCTGGCTAGTTGCTAGTTGGGATACGGCACACTGGGTGTGCCAACTTTCTCCCCGAGCTAACGGTTCTTCGGCGGGGCACTTTATTGCTCAACTTTGACGGACCCACCGGGCGATATGCAAGTCGTAAAATATTAGGAAGAAATCGCCTTGACCTATCTGTGTGATGACCTCAGCAAAGATTCCAAATGTCCATATTCCGAACGTCTCGACATAGCGATCTTGCTCCTTGTAGGCTTCCCACGGTGCTGCTTCCGACGTCTTGACTTTTTGTTCACTTGATGCTGGTTGACTGATTCTTTGACTTTAATAGACTGACTGATCTTGATGGATTGACTCCTCGTGGTTGACTGCCGGCGCTCTGCAGCCTTATATAGGGCCTCCGAAAACCGCGTATTTCGCTTTTGCGCACGGCCCGCTGGTACACTCATCTCCAGGTCCAAATTACGTGGTTCCCGTTTTACCCATTTGCCTTTTGCGTACGGCTTCCAACTGGAATCCCACGTCTTGGCGCTGTCCTGCAGATTATCCTGTGGCATGTGGCACGCCGGGGAGCCGTTCCGCTGCTGAGATGTGGCACTTCTTCTCCTGGTCTAAAGTGTACGGCAGAATCCAAAATCCGGTGCGTTCCGTTATTTTCTTTTGCACACATCACCCTCGCTTTGCCCTCGAAGTCTCCACTCACTCTCCAACTTTTCGCGCTCCAAACTCATATTCTATATTTTTTTATTTTCCAACTTTCCAAACTGTCATCCTCCAGCTTCTCTCTCCAAATTTTCACTCTCTAAACTCTATTCGCCTTGATGTTACTATTTTACTACACCGCCTTATTATTGGGTTGCCCAAAAAGTAATTGCGGATTTTTTAAAAGAAAGTAAATGCATTTTTATTCAAACTTAGAATGAACTTTAATCAAATATATAATTTCCATTTTGTTCGATAACCTTTTGCCATCTTCCCGGCAAATTTGTATTCCACGCTCACAGAACTTCTGGCCTTTATCTGCAAAAAACTGAACCAAGTGCGATTTTATATCCTCATCATTGCCGAAAGTTTTACCATTTAAGGAGTTCTGCAAAGATCGAAATAAATGGTAGTCTGATGGTGCATGGTCAGGGCTATATGGTGGATGCAAACTTCCCAGCCAAGCTGTCCCAGTTTTTGCCGGGTCATCAAAGATTTGTGTGGTCTGGCGTTGTCATGATGGAAAATGACACCTTTACGATTGATCAATTCTGGCCGTTTCTCGTTGATGGCTGCATTCAATTTGTCCAGTTGTTGACAGTAAACATCCGAAGTAATCGTTTGGTTCCTTGGAAGCAGCTCAAAATATACCACACCCTTCCAATCCCACCAAACAGACAGCATAACCTTTTTTTGGTGGATATCAGCCTTTGAAGTGTTTTGAGCTGGTTCACCATGCTTGGACCATGATCGTTTTCGATTAACGTTATTGTAAACAATCCATTTTTCATCTCCAATTATGATTCACTTTAAAAATGGATCGAATTCATTGCGTTTAAGATTCATATCACAAACGTTGATTCGGTTTGTTAAATGAATTTCTTTCAATTCATGTGGTACCCAAATATCAAGCTTTTTCACCAGTCCAAGACTTTGTATGTGATAATGAACGGTTGATTTTGGTATATTTAACTTCTCTCCTATCTCACGCTCAGTTACATGACGATCCAATTCGATTAATGCTTTGATTTGGTCATCATCAACTTCATTTGGCCGACCTGAACGTGGCTCATCTTTAAGTGAAAAATCTCCAGAACGGAATTTGCGAAACCAATTTTGACACTGTCTTTCTTTTAAGGCTTTATCACCATACACATCACGTAACTTTTTAGCAACTCTCTCTGCGCTTTTTCCTTTACGGAAATAATAAAGTAAAATATGACGAAAATGCTCTTTTGTGGACTCCATATTAAAAAGGGCGCCAATCAAACAAATGTAAACAAAATTACGCGCACTTTTTTTCTAAAGCAAGCTAATAGTGACAGCTAATAACTGACAAAAGAAAAAATGCAATTACAGAGTCACAAGCAGTTAAAAAAATTATAAACGACGACTATATGAAAAATCCGCAATTACTTTTTGGGCAACCCAATATATAGGCTGTAGAACGCTCTCTCTTTCTGTCTTTTTAACAAAATTTCAAGAGAGCCTGGAGCTAGCACTAGAAACAGCACAAAAAACTCGTATGAAAAGCAAGCTTTTGGCGTTTTGTATCTTAATATTCTAGTGTTTTTGGTTGGACACAGTTTTTTTTGTGTGGCCTACACAGAAAAAAAAAATTGATATGATATGATGGTCAATTTGATGAAATCCAGTATCAATTCCGCCTTGATACGGCACATATCAATTTGATATGTTGGAAATGGTAAGGGGCCGTCCATAAACCACGTGGACAAATTTTAAGCATTTCTTGACCCCCCCTCCCCCCTCGTGGACAATCGAGGATTTTTAACTAACCCGCCCCCCCCCATTTTGTCCACGTGGACTTTTTCATTGAAAAATTTTTTTTCTTTTTAAAAATGATATCTATAGAGATTATTAAAAATGGTAAATAAATAGAAGTTTAATAGTAAATTTAAAAGTGGAATAAATAACATAAAGGTTACAATTAAATTTTTACTATGTCCACGTGGACATTTACCTCGACCCCCCCTCCCCCCCTCGTGGAAAATCGTGGACTTTTGACGAACCCCCCCCTCCCCACAAAACTGTCCACGTGGTTTATGGACGGCCCCTAAAAACGATATTTCGGTAAT